TTGTTACACTACTTCAGCTACTGAATAAAAGGTTACAGAGTTTTAAAGGACCTGCCTGGTTTTTTTCAGTTATAATATAAGGATTGTGAGAAACTGTCATGGTATGTTAAAATGGTGAAAGCAGGAACCCAGTAGCGGAGCAGAAGACAGTAGCACCAAAGCAAGCACAACACCCCAAAATTTCATTCCCGTGGGAGTCAAGTCCAGAGATTTTGTACACATTCTATAAATTAACCCACAATATACTTTGATTTAAAAACTGTTGCTATATGATGCACCATTTTGCTGAGTTAAATGTCATGGCAATGAACATTTTAGTAGTATATGGGTGGCATTGATGAATTCATATGCATTAAGCATCTTTACTAGTTATAATACTTTCCTAAAATTTCACATAGCCCATCCCGGAAGAAATCTAATACAGTATTCACAATTCCATCTCATCTAAAGCTCAGATGCTATTTCAAGGGCCATTAATTCTGTTTTGTGATACACATTTTCAGTTTTGCCAGGGAGCACAGCAAACAGTTCTGGACCACCAGGATAAAAAGAGAAGTGGATAAATGCATGGAAAAATGGGAAGCAAATACGCTCAGCAGCAAATGTATTTATTTTGCTTGTTAAATTTATATCCCACCTAGGGATCTTTTCAAAATAGAATAGGCTGGTGAGATTCACTGGCTGAAAATAACCCAATGAGGTTCCGTGGCTGATGGTGGACCTAAAAGTGAATCTCTTCTAACCTATTCTAACCAATCAACCACTGCATCAATTGGCTTTGAGAAAAATGAAAGAAACTTTTGCATTTTTGAATATGCATTAGAAGTGTTTGCCGGATTGGCCCAAGTTCAGGGCAAAGCATAATAATTCAAAACAGATTTTGTTTTATTCAGTGGAGACAAGAAATGTCTGATCACACATTGACTCAGGGGGCCCCTGAATTCTGAATATGTAGCTGTATAATTTTTGGTTAAACACAAGATTATGCTCTGCAGCTCAAGAACAAATGTGCAAAACTGTAATGATTTGAATGGAACTAAGTATTTAAGGGTCCCTCTTTGAGAGAGATGGGCAGTTTATAAATGTGAAAAATAAAAAATTTAAAAGTGTTTAAAAATTTAACTGCAATTGTGTTTTTTAAATGGCAGAAAGCTTGGAAATTATTCTTTCCTTAAATCAAAATGGGTTTTTTGGTCTTAGAATACAGGAACAGTTACTTATTGCAAGAGACCATATTGTTATTGTGTTGTAAAAGAAAGCGGCATATAAAAATCATAAAAGGGTTTAGCAAATATCTGCATGAGATCTCAAGCAAATAAGTCTAGTATCACTAATGGGTCTTTTTATTTTAAAAGAATGTTTAATTTATAATGCCATTGTTTTTCTACATTTGCAGTTCAGTCTGTCTTAAACATCTTCTAATTTTTAGCCTTCTCTATAAGCCTTGTTCATTCATGCAAGCTCAGGGCAGTTCCTAACTTTCATTCACAAGATTTGTTACTACCCTGTTGTGTAACATTAAAAGACAATTTTAAATTGAAACAAGAAAGCAGAAAATTCAGTGACTACATATTTGTCATAAAATGTAGGTTGTGGTCTTCCACTATCTATAGTAATGTGGCATCATGTAAGTCCCAATTATATTACTAGAGAACCATAAATACAGAGTATAAATCTTTACCAAATTTCAATTAAATGTTCAGATGCACACGCTATATATAAAGATATCCTCCCTCTCTTCTTCTCCCTCCCTCCCTCTCTATTATGATCTCTTCTTTTTCTGAGTGTACAACCTTTTTTCTGCAAACATTTAAAGAAGCTATGAGGCATATTATACATGCACACAGCCACCATGGAAAAACTGACTTCGAAGGGCAGCATCCAAATTTTATAAACATATACAGTACTCAAATACCATTTGTATTGTAAGGACTTAATTCTGACATCTGGAAAATCATAATCATGGAGAGTATGATTCTGAAAAACTCATTTTGCTCATCTAAAGCAAGTACAACTTGCATCACTGGGCTGAATTAAAAACTCAGAAGTATGTAAATTCCAAATCAAGAAATTCACGTATCCAGATTGACAATACTATCGACTGGGTCTGATACACACGTTTATTCACAAATAATTAAGAAACACAAATAAACACGTTCAAAAAAGATGCATATATAGAAAAAGTTAGTAACTCCATTACCTATCTCCCTTTGGCTTTCTTTTCTGTACTGTTTTTCCTTTGGGTCGTCTCTCACTTCCTAAACAGGGACTCCCACCTGGACCTGTTACCCGTATTGATTCAAGGCCTTTCGAGGATTTCTTAAAAGTAAATTCCACTGGTTCTCCTTCTTTTAGGCTTCTAAATCCTTCCATGTAAAGCTTGCTCTGTGAATAGGAAAAATATTCTTAGTTACCATAGATTTAGAAAAACAAAATGCTAAAGACTGTCAAAACCAAAACAGGATTATATTAGCAAACCTGTTATACTTTCCCCTGCCATGTACAATGAATGTGAGATTTCCTAAACAAAGCCCTGTTATACCATTGTTACTTAAATCTTGCATAGGCTGGCATTCTAAATCTCTGCAGCTATGCAACATCAAGCGTCTTTCTCCTCAAATGAATGAACCAAAGTGAGAAGAAAATTCCCAAAGCCTCAGATTAGGGCAGTCTTCCACAATCTCAAGAGCTGGGATTATCACTTCTAAAATGATGTCTGTGTCAGCTGAAAAACTCTGGGAGGAATAGTCTCAGTACATCTGGATCATACCAGATATCGAATAACTGATTAGATACTAAAGTGAAAGCATCATTACTTATTTTTCTATTATTTTCCTTTTTTTCCAGGAAAAAAAAAAGCATGGGGATGATTTCTTGCCATCATTCTGTCATCATTCTGCCCAATCTTTTGAACAACTGTGAAAAGGTTCGATGGAGAGATACTTAACTGTCACTAAATCACCCAGTTTTACAATTTGGTCTCCCTGATTTTTACCCAACTCTCTAACCATAGTATCACACTAGCTGTCATTGTTCTGAATCAAGAAATGCTTTTTTGTAAACATATTCAGGTGCTTTTTAATTTTTCTTTCTTCATCTAAGCGGGATATTCAAGCATATTTATTCAAGAGGATTTCGAAAGTGAAAGAGATCCAGAATGATCTTCTCTCTGAATTTATCTCCTTTGCCTCCACAGCTGGTGGCACTCTTCCATATGACTGATCTCAGAAGTTAAACAGGTTCAGCTATGGTGTGGACCTGTAAGGCAAAAGACCTGGGGATCAGAGCTGGGCTGCTACGGGTTTGCCCAAGTTTGGAAGAACTTGTAGCTAATATTATGGCTGGTTCTGAGAACTTCCAAATCCTACTCCTGGCTGACCCTGCCCACCCCACCCCTCCTGTCGCCACGTGGCCTGTTTTGGATGCGAGGTATATGCAGGGCCCACATGGAGGCTCGGGGAAGGGGAAAATGGGCCTCCCGAAAGTTCCGGAAGCCTGGGAAAGACGTTTTCGCCTTCCCAGAGGCTCAAGGAAAGCCTCCGGAGCCTGGGGAAGGCAAAAATACCCCTCTGCCATGATGTAGGAGACTGACTAGGCCATGCCCACCATGGCCATGCCCACCCAACACCCAGGCAGAGAACCCGTTGCTGAAATTTTTGAAGCCCACCTCTGCTGGGCGTTCCAGAAATCTGGAACAGTGTGGGAATTTGGAAAAAAAATCATACAAAAAGATAACCAATATCTCCAGTACCGCCAAACATCTTGCATACACTGAATATCTATGTTTGAATGAAGGCAAAAGAAAAGTGCTAATTAAAAAAATGAAGACAGAATGTTACTGAAAATAAAATCATTTTATGTAACATTTCCTCTTTCTGGATCCCCCACCCCCCACATTGGAGCTATATGGGTAATCCTCAATGTACGACCACAATTGAGCCCAAAATTTAATTTTTTAAATGAAACATTTGTTAAGTGAGTTTTGTCCCATTTTATGACCTTTCTTGCCAAAACTGTTAAGTGAATCATTGCAGTTGGTAAGTTAATAACCTGGTTGTTAAGTGAATCTGGCTTCCCCACTGACTCTGCTTGTCAGAAGGTCACAAAAGCTGTTCAAATGATCCCAGGAAACCACAACCGTCAGTTTCCAAACATCTAAATTTTGATCACGTGACCATGAGGATGCTGAAACGGTAGTCATAAGTTCCTTTTTTCAGTGCAACTTCATATGTTTGAGCAGTCACTAAATGTTGTAAGTCGAGAATTACTTTCATAGTGGATATTCTTACTTGAATTATGAAATACAAAGAGCATCAGCAATGAAATTCTGGGATTTACCATATTTTTCGGAGTATAAGACGCACCAAGATTTTAAAGAGGCAAATTAAAAAAAAGGTTTTGCACTCTGCAGACCTCCCAAAAATCTTTTTGTCAAAAAAGGGCATGAATAGCTTTTAGAAGGCTTGTAGAGTACTCTGGGGGCTGCCCCCCAAAAAAATGAGCAAAAAAAAGTCCATTTTTCACAAAACAGGCCCATTTTTGGTCAAAAAACGGTATGCATAGCCTTTAGGGGGCTTATAGTGTGCTTCTGGGGGCAAAAATGAGCAAAAAATAGCCTGTTTTTGCTCATTTTTGCCACCTCATCCCCCAGGAGCACTCCATAAGCCTCCTAAAGGCTATGCATGGCCATTTTTGCAAGGGGGTGGGGTTTTGGGAGACCCAAAATGCTGTATTCAGTGTATGACGTACCCAAATTTTCACCCTCTTTTTTGAGGGAAAAAGGTGCATTTTATATTCCAAAAAATATGGTACTTTCAATCTGAATTCAGACATTTAAGAAACCTATACTATAGTTCCTTAACTCCTTACATTTGAAAAAATTATACCCTTCCCCTTTGCGAACTTTGAACCCTAAAATATCAGGTAAAGAACCAGACATTCCCACAAACTGCCTTCCCTTATTATGAGGTGAACAATGGTCTTAGAAATAGCATAGAGTCACTTTGACAAATGAACATGTGAAAAAAAAATGAAGCAAAAATATTGAAATAGGCACATTAGGCAGAATATCTCTTTGGGAAGGTAAACTACTGAAATGAGGAAAGAGAAAGTTATAAATAGGCGAACTGTAAAGAATTAAAATAGCCTGACTGCAGCAAGCCCAAAGCATTAGATTTAATTACTGATATTAGATTTGCTAGTGATGAAAAAAGTATGGAGTGACTGATTAGGAAATTCACTCACTTGCTTCCTATAAAAAAATTCAATGTGTGCTTAAATTTCTTATTTCTCTGACTTTAAAATTTTGACAGAAATTCAGGGTCAGATGAATTTATTCGCTGCATATGCTATCGCAGTCAGAGAAAACTTTTTCCTCTGCAAAAGGACTAAATTTACTTTACCTTTACAACCGTGGAAGTCAAAAATTGACTTGAGAGATTACACCACCCTACATACAGTACATCATTATACACAAGGATTATAAAACAAAAAAGCACCATTTGTATAAAAGCACAATGATGATTGAGTGCTTCTTAAACAGACAAGATGTATGACTGTAGTTCCAAGGGGTTTTTTATATATTAAACAAATCAAAGTACTAAAACATGTTCAAAATCAAAATTACTTTTCAACTTCAGAATGGAAATAAACTGATTTTCTGCCTTAGTACAGACAATAAAACTGCTAAAAGAAATGTAGAGGCAAATTTAACTATAATGTGATAATGGCTATATTTTCATGCAATGGTAAAGTAAATTAAGGGCTTACTGTGTTACATCAATAAATTATCAATTTAACAAAAGCTATTTGAATTTTATCTGATTCAAAACAACATGCATGATTGTAAAAGCAATCTGACAAAATAAGTCTAGATCATCATTTAAAGGCTATAATCCTATGCATATTTGTTTGGAGGCAAGACCCTCTCAACTTAGTTGCACTTCTTTCTGGATAGATATGACTAATATTTCACTGTAAATGCAGGAATATCCCCCAAATAATCTGCTTACTTAAAATTAAATGTTTTCAAGTTCACAATGTGGTGGTAACTCCCACTTTCTTTCATTATCCCAACATTTGCCAGCCAGCCATGATTTAAAATGGTTGTCCCAAAGGTGTTTTATTTTTCCAAAAGGCAACTGGGCTATCTTGGGTTTTTGCCTTTGAAACTGTTTTGCGTCTCAACAACTTCAAAGCTTCTTCAGTTCTAAATATCTCCAAATCAGCTTCCTACAAATCCATCTAGCATCTTCTATCGAAAGGATCTTTTCCACCAACTCTGCCAAGTCACTTGACTGTTTGCTTAGGAAAACTTCTGTCCGGGGTTTCTTCAGGATCTGACTGAAATTCACAGAAACACCATATTGGGGCTCACATTTGCAGCCTATTCTCCTCTTCGTATTTGTGTTCCACTCCTATGAGCAGGTGCCCACAGAAGTGAGAAAAGGCTCCAATAATGAGGCTTAATTTGGACTTTCCTTTCTTTTGTGGGCTTACAGTCAAAATTTAAGCACCTGCTGGTTAACATGTAAAGGAAAGTGGGGATTTTTCTTTGAAATGTCTTTGTACCCTATATGTCTCTCAGTTCCTTATTCCATTGATCTGAAGCTAAATCATATTAAGTAAGCTTGCTTGCAATTTCACAATATCATTACTGCACATTTTGAACATAAAAACTCTTCAAAAGATGTATTTTGTTTTATGCTTCTCCATGATTTAAATTTGAGAACTTCTCTGTCTCCACAAGCAATCCAGCATGTTCAGATTCATGGCATCTGGAGCTATGGACTTAACAGTCTTCGTTTGCCAGGTTTCTGTTTACTAACTTCCTATTTGGATGGATACAGATTATCATGGCTTGTCCATTGCCACATAGATCCCCACCAAGGATTTAGTGTTTTCGAACAAGAAAGCAAATACTGTAGTTGCCAACAGGGTGAATGAACTTATGATTCCACAAAGCTTAGCTGTGGAAATGTTTCTCCAGCCAATATATGAGAACCCTCTTAATACAAACATAATGAACCATGAAACCATTTGCATCACAAGGCATAGATTACATTTCTGAATCAAGCTTCTAAGAGTACAGCTCAATTTACCACACACAACTTAAGGAAGCATTCTGGGTCATGTTTGAAAGCAACATGTCAGTCACTTTAATCGTAATACAGCCAAGACTTCAGATCTGAACAGTTACACGAAAAGAATTGTAAATGTTGTGGGGAAAAGAGCCTGGAGCTGGGGTGGGAAGAAATGCTTCTGTCCCAAACTCTCCTTTGGTTTCTGTAGTCCAAGTCTTTTCATGACCTTAACAAGAGAAAGCACTTCTGCATATGGCCACATCTGCGGGGTCCCACGCAGCAGCTGCCATTCGGCTTTAAAACCCTCTTGACAAGATTCTTGTCAATTAAAGCCCTCTTAGCCCAGATTTGCATAAAACAAAAAAAAATGTTGACAGGGTTACCAAATGATACTGTTGAATGAAATTCTTTTTTTTTTTTTTTAGTGTAAAGGTGATTGGTAAATGGGATGTGCTTCAGTTAAAGAGAGACTGAAGTTATCATAATAAATACTGGAGTATAATACAGTGAATGAAATAAGCATCATTTGCACTGCATTCATTAAGGATGTCTGACTATTATCACTGTCTATTTTACATTTCAGTAATATTAAAGAAATGTACAAAGCTTGCAATTCAATGCTTAAGGACAATATTGGCAAATAACAACAGTAGAACAAAAAAGGGTGCTACAAAGATTGGAGGGGAATGGAGGACAAGTTCTTGATTGGTTAAGATGATTTTTTTTAATACCATATTTTTCAGAGTACAAGACACACCAAGATTTCGAAGAAGTAAGAAAAAATGTTTTTTGTCCTCTCCAGCTCTCAGAAGTACTCTGCAGGCTTCAGCAGGACTGGGGGAAGGGCCTGTGTTTTGCCAATATGGGGCATTTTTCCCTTCCCCCAGCCCTGCTGAAGCCTGCAGAGTGATTGTAGGGGCTGGGGGAAGGCAAAAATGCCTCCATTTTTGTGAAAAATGGCCCATTTTCTGCAAAAATGGGATGCGGGTCCGGGGCTTCAGGAGGCCAAAAATGGCTGTATTCGGTGTATAAGACGCACCAACATTTTCACATTCTTTTAGGGGGAAGGTGCATCTTATACTCCGAAAAATACGATAATTTAAAAAAAGGTTAACGAATTTGGATAGACTACAAAAAGCCATTCGGTTCTATTCCACATAGCTCAATTGGGAAATGATTTAAAAATTTCAGAATCAGCAAAAACATTTGGCAGTTTATGAATATTTCAATGCCACTTTGGCAAACAAAGCTGATGGCTAATTGGGAAGAATTAAAAGAAATCAAAATTAAACATGGAATTTTTCCAATGTGACTCAGCATCATCTTTATACTGTATACCAGAGGTCCCCAATCCCCAGGCCATGGGCTGGTACTGGGGTGTGGCCTGTTGGAAACCAGACCATGCAAGCTGTGGGCAAGCATGCAAAGCTTCATTTGCGGGGGTTAGGTTGCACATGCAAAACCATCTGTTCCCCCACCCCATCTTGATTCTGCTGGTCTGGGGAACCAGAAATGTTGCGGACTGCTACTTGATACTATCAATGGACCCTTTGACAATAATTTTGAACAAGGAAAACTGTGGAGATATACATTAAATGTAAGGTTAAAAAAAGGATTTTTTTTGCATTTTCTCTATATGGATGGTTTAAAACTATTCGGAAAAATGAAGGTTGAGCTTTGCTAAAAAGCAGATGAAAATTCAACAAAGATACTGGAATGCAATCTGGGATCAGCCATAATGGCAGACAAAATTGTTGAAAATGATGGGATACAGCTTGATAATAATGATTTTGACAACTCAATAAAGACAGTAGCATCAGAAGGTTATAAATATTTGGGAGTTTTAAAAACTACCAATTTATTACATAATCAAGTTAAAGGATGGATGTGTGTGTGTGTGTGTGTGTATGTATGTATATGTATTTATGTGTGTGTGTGTGTGTATGTATGTATATATACACATACATACATACATACATACATACATACATACATACATACATACATACACATACACACACAGTACTGTGCAAAAGTTTTAGGCAGGGATGAAAAATTGTTGTAAACAAAGAATGCTTTCAGATATATAAATAATGATTGTTTATTTTTGTCAATTTTCAAAATGCAAAGTGAGCGA